GTAGATGGGAAAAACTGAAACCGCCCGAACAGGGACTTGAACCCTGGACCCTCAGATTAAAAGTCTGATGCTCTACCGACTGAGCTATCCGGGCTCTGTCCCGCAGGTCAGGGACAGCGCTTATCAGGGACAACCCAGGCACAGCCCTGCCCATGTGTAGGGCAGGGACAGCCCCACAGCGTGGGATCCCTTCCCAGTGTCCGCCAGACCCAGAACAACCCCTCCCGCACTCCGTTCTTTACACGCAGCAGTTCGGGCACTTCCCACGCAAGGAGTTAATTTGGGCTGTTTCTGAATTTCCACCCAGGTTACAGGACCCCAGATCCCTTGTCAGGGGAAGGGGCTGCGCAGGGACAGGGGCTTCTTGACCCCTAGGTGGGATTTTCAGTGTTGTCACAGAATGGTTGGGGTTGGAAAGGAGCTCTGGAGATCGATTCCAACCCCCCTGCCAAGGCAGGGTCACCTGGAGCAGGTGACACAGGGACGTGTCCAGGTGGGGTTTATAATGAAGTTTATTGGGTGTTATAATGTCCAGGTGGGGTTTATTGTGTCCAGGTGGGATTTATTGTGTCCAGGTGGGGATTATAATGCCGGGGGGAGTGGCATATAACGGTTATAACGAAGACAGTTCAGCTCTAGGGCACAGGAACTTCGAGTATTTTGCCAAGTCAGTAATGTCTGCACAGACGCACATCGACATTTTGATTTACTGCATCCCTAAGGCTTGTTAATTCCAGGATGTCCTTGAGCCAGGGATGGAACTGCTGCCTGTGCCACCGAGGCTTGAAAGTACACATAGATCTTACGTCAAAGAACACCTTGACTTGAGACAATCTTGATTTTTTTATTTACGTTTAATAGTATTTATAATTTCTAATTTACTTATACATTATGTATAATATATATTATATATTACGCATCATAATATATATTATATATTACAAATAATAGCTAATATATTAAATATTTACACGTATAAATACGAGATAGATTTCTTTATACATTACTTATAATAATTCTTTATATCTATTATTATTTATTTATTATTAACTATTTTATTTTTATTATTGTTTTCATTTTCCAGCAGGGCTGAGGGGACGCTCCGGCCTGGGTCTCCAAGCCGTGGGGGCGCCACGTTCCCCCGCGGCGTCGCCCGGCATCCCCTCTGGCCGCGCGCCCGCGCCGCCTCCGTGGCCCGCCCCATGTCGCCGCGAGGGAAGCGGCGCCCGGACCCCGCCAAGAGGGGCGCGGAGCCTCGGGGGTTTAGAGTCCCGTCCCCCCCCCCGACCCCCTGCCCGGGGCCCATGAGCGGTTGTAGTGAGCCCCGGGCCGGGAGGAGCCGGGGTCCCGGAGCGCAGGCTGAGGGCGTGGGAGGGCAGAGCGCGTGCCGCGGTGAGGCCTGGGCCGGTGGAAGCGGCGGATAAATCTTATCTCCTGCGAGGGAAAGGGTGGGAATTGGGATTGTTCAACCTCCAAAAGGGAGGCTCCTGGGCGAGCTGATTGCGGCCTGAAGGGGTCTACGGAAAGGATGAAGAGAGACTAATTCCAAGGGCCTGGAGTGACAGGACAAGGGGGAATGGGTTTATACTGCCAGAGGGGGGGCTGGATGGGATACTGGGAAAGAATTCCTCCCTGGGAGGGTGGGGAGAGACTGGGATGGATTTCCCAGAGGATGCCTCATCCCTGGAAGTGTCCAAGGCCGGGCTGGACGGGGCTTGGAGCAGCCTGGGCCAGTGGAAGGTGTCCCGGGCCGTTGGCAGGGGTGGGATGGGCGGGCTTTAAGGTCCCTTCCAACCCCAACCATTCCATGATTCCATGGTCTCACCTCCACCCAGCAGGAGGGCAGCTCTCCTCATTCCCTGGCTGGCATTCCAGGGGCGGTGGAGGAACTTGGGAACACGGTGGGGGAGCTGGGGGTGGTTCCCAGGGAGGGGTCGGGTGTTTGTCACAGGAGGACTTCCAGGCATGAAAACTCCCGGGGACTGATAGGGACAAACCTAATTATCCCTGACTTAATTATCAAATTAGTGCCTGTTTAGGGCCTCCCCTCCAGGGCTGCTCTGTATGATGCTCTACATAGAATTAAAAGTTATTTTCAGTATTTTGCTTTGTTAGAAAGCTTGAAAATGGCTGTTGCTGGGGTGTCACACCTGAACTCACCATCACAACGAACCATTAGAGAGCCCACAATGTCTGCTTTACACTCCCTGCTGTGTTTCCACTTCACATACAAGTTAAAAACTGTCCTCTCCTGGAAATGAGACTCTAAAACCAAACCCGAGCTTGAATTAGAAGTTTTAACTTAACTTTCCAGGCTGTGCTTGCACTCTCTGGGTCTGGTAAGATCTTTATTCTCGAGCGCCAAAAGCTGTGCTCTGCTGGGGTTTTGGTCTCTTGAGAAGGAAGTTCTACTCCCAGCACAGGCAGACGTCTTGTTCCTGTGGTCTGTGTCAAGTTTTCGAGCGGAAAATTCGATTATTCATGACTCCTCTGTGATTCATGGATTCCTCAGACGTTGCTCCGGTCCAGTGGCATTTTCCGTGGCTCCAAACAGCCCTAAGTCCACTGGTGCTTCATTCCCTTGGCTGCAAGTTGGTCCAGGCACAGCGTTGGGAGGTAAAAACGTCGGATATTTGGAAGCAGAGCAGTAGGGGAGGGTTAAACTGGGCTCACCGAGCTTCTCCTTTCTTTAGGAACGTGCACAGGGTGGAACCGAGGGAGGCTTTCTGTGCCTGGTGGGAGGTTTTCTGTGCCTGGTGGCGGCGTCCGTAGGTTTTGTGGGAGCCTGGACGTGGTTTTTAGAGCTTGGGAAGGCGGCACTCGGGAGCCCCGGGACTGAGCTCTGATTAAAGAAAACTCCATCACTGAGGCTCAAACTCACCGAAAATATTTGTGTGTAAGACCGGAGGCTAAGCCCGATAGCACTGATGAAATCAGTGTGGAAACAGTTAAAGCCGTGGCTGGTTGGTGCCTCAGCCCGGGGTCCTTTTCCTGGAATGCGGGCTCAGGAAATGCACCTTTCGTGCCCCCGGGCCCTTTCCCCAGCCGGGCCGTTCTAGGGGCTCCCGCCCCGCCCGGCGCCCTTTGAAAGGACGAGTCAGAGCCCGGAGCAGCGGCGGGAAGCGGCACAGCCTTCCCGGGACAGGAATCCAGGGCTAATAACCCCGGGATAATAACCCCGGGACACCCCTCCAGCAGCGAGGTAAGTCAGGCTGCGGGTGAGTTCAAGCTTAAGGTGGGCAGCTCGTGTTTGGTGTTATCAGCCAGAGATCTGCGTTAAAATCGAGGGGGGTGATGAGGTGGAAGTGTTTTAAGATGTATTTTGAGTTTGTAGTCTGAGTTACTACCGCTGTTATTTGCAAGCCTGAGTGTTTAATGTGCTTTAATCAGCCCTTCCCGAGTATTTAGAGATATGTTTGATCCCTGGGGATGATTTTATTCCTGACAGTGCCTCACTTCAGAGGACTGTAATGCCATAAAAACAATCAGAAGCCTCTAATAAAGTCATTAAAAGTCCTTTTTAATAGATGGGCAGAGATTGAACAGTTACAGGAGCTTGACTTGGTGCTAAAGCTCAGATTTTTGTCATTACTGAGCCACCTTGAGCCTGTTTTGTCTGCAGCTGAGACCTTTGGCTGCATTCCTCAGGCAGGACTCTGGGAATTCTGCTGATATTCAAGCTGATCATGCTGGCTCTGATAACTGGGTGTAGTAGCAAATTCATTTACTGGAGCTGGAAAATTCCATGAAAGACAATTCACATATTGCTTTGAAAGTTTGGGGCTTCACACTTTCAAATCTAATGTTTTGGATTTAGAAGTGAAATTGAAATAATTATCATTGAGATTGAAATAATTAAACTACTGCATGGACTAAAAGTTCAGTAAAAACATTCCCAAAGTTGCAGCTACCCAGGCAAATTGAGGAGCCACTCTTGGTAATTCATCTCATGCTTTAGCCTTGATTTTACCAAAAAGGCAGTTGCAGGGCCTGTTTCAGTATTGCCTGTGACCAGATTCATGTTAAAATTGAGATTTTACTGTAACTAGGTCCAGGGACACATCATTTACTGGTTCATTGGTCTGAGCTTTAGTGCTGAGAGTAAAATCAAGGATTCCTGTTTTTCTCCATCAAGTTCAAGGTGCTTTTTTCCAGTGAGGAGTTGATTTAGACCATCCCTTCTCTTCAAAGATTTCAAACCTGTTGTGTGGGGCAGAGGAAAGTGGATTGTGCTGGGAACATGAGTCACTGCTGCTCTTTGGGTGGATTCTGAAACTGAGACAAATTCAAATAGCTGCAGGACTTCCCCTTTTGTTCCCTTCCAGGAAAGGATCTGTCACCTGCTCACCCAGAAACTGTTCATTTATCAGGTGGGGTGGGGGCTGCAGCAGCTTTAGCAGATTTTCATCTCTTGGAAGTCAAAGGAGGTGGGAATGTGCTAGTGATGGCCTTCAGCTCTGGCTGCTGCTCCTCTGGGAGCCAGGCCTTGCTGTCCTGGGCTTTCCCTGCTGCTGGTTGTGACTCAGCTCCTCATTCCCCACCTCTGACTCAGGGGTTTCACCAGAGTGTGCTGATCCCTCCTGGGCACTGGCAGGTCCCCAAGTTCCTCACCGTGGTGTGTCACTGCTGCAGAGGCACAGAATCCCAGAATCCCAGGCTGCTTTGGCTTGGAGGAACCTTAAAGCTCATCCAGTCCCACTTCCTTCCAGGGGCAGGGACACCTCCCACTAGCCCAGCTCTCTCCAAGCCCCATCCAGCCTGGCCTTGGGCACTTCCAGGGATGGGGCAGCCACAGCACCAGTGTCCCCGTTGTCCTGTGGCTGTTTGCTGGATCCAGCTCAGAATCATGGAATCCCTGAGGCTGGAAAAGACTTCAGCATCAGTAAGTCCACCACCAGCCATGGGCATCACCAGCCACGCCCTCAGGTGCCACATCCACTTCCAGGGGGTGGTGATCCCACCCCTGCCCTGGGCAGCTGGGCCAGTGTTTCACAACCCTTCCCACCACAGATTTGTCTTCACATCTAACCTACCCCCCCTCAGGCAGGGCACAGGACCACCAGCATTGCACAGCATGGTTTGAGATGTGCCTGCAGGGCTAATTTTAAACCTCGGTTTCCTGAAGCTTCTGAGGAGGTGGAAGTGGTTAAACTCCAGCCCAGGTTTCTCAGCCTGACCTTTCTCAATTTTAGGTGCTGTTACCAGCTGCTCACTGCCACCATGAGCTCCCCCAGCCCTGCCCAGCACCCAGCAGCTGAGAACACCTGCAGGATCACTCTGGGACAAGCTCACCAGGTAATTTGCTGTTATTTCTCCCACTTATCTCTGCTGTTTTCCCCTCAGAGCAGTGATTTCTTCCATTAAATCCAAGCTCTCCAAGTACCTTTAAGTAAGGAGAATTTACCCTAATGGAGCAGGGCTTTCATCCTAAGGAGTTGTGTTATCTTTCACTCTCAGATCATTTATGAACTCTCAGTGGTTTGTGAACATTATTTAAAGGGGAAGGAAGGGAAAACTGGAGATACAAAAATAATACAGTGCCTGTTTTTGTGCTGAACCTTAGAATATTCCATGTCCAGCATTCCTCCTGGAACTGCACTCTGGGACAGCTGTATTGGAGCTTTGTAACCTTGTATGTTAAACTTTGCCTAGTAATTCATCCCCAGGCCTTTTTGGAGTCTGTTTAGGTGGCTTTGGACATGGAGTACTCCTGTTATCACCTGTTCCTGGAACAAAAGGTATTTGTGGGTGCAAGCCAAGGCCAACGTGGCAAGTGTGTGTTTGGAGTGTGGCTCAGTCCCAGCCACTCAGAGAAGAGAGGTTTGCCAACAACAGCAGAAATCTGGTGTTAAAAAAATCAGAAAGTCTCCTCCAAGCCAGGCATCCAACCTTCCAGAGCCAATTCCTTGTAAAAGAAACCATCCCCCCCATGTCAGGGAATGTGGTGGGAGTGGAAATAAACTGATGGGAAGTTGAGCATTTCCCATTTGAGGCTTTATTTAGAAGCTTTGAACTGGAGCCAAGCCCTGTGCAGAACTGATGTCAATGCTTATTTATTCAATTTGCTCTGCATGGGAAAAAAAAAAAAAAGTAAATAGGCTCTGATAATAGTGACAAAATATTGATTGTCAACACTCATGTTCTGGGCAGGGTGGAACAAACACTTCCATCAGGACTGGGGGAGCTGAGGGCCCATTTTAGAAT